TATGCGGTAGCATTATCATTTAACAATTTGAAGTCTTGTACAAAATCGTCAGTGTCTTGTAGGGAATATTTTTCATTATTTAGCTTCTTCTGGATTTCGCCCACTGTGATAGGATTAGTTATAATATTGTAATAATCGGGATACAACTTTTTAGATGGTAATTTGACGAACGGTGTAACAAGATGCCTTTCATCATTTTCGTCACGTAAATTATTAACCAAATTTATTGTTGAAGAATAAAATTGCTTGAATTCTCCCTCAGAAGGAGCTGCTTTTTGCTTCTTAGAATTCGGAGTGCTATGCGCAGATGACTTTCTCTTGGGTGGCATGGTTATTCGGTAATCAAGAACTTGACTATAGATTGATGGAGTCCTGTTTACTGTAAATAAACCCGTAAGAATAGGTGTTTTTCGAAATATGCGTAACCTGGAAATACGTGAAAAATACTTTTACATGTTTTGATTAAGAGACCCGAAAGATAATTAGCCATATAATTAAGAGATTCAAATACTGATTTAATTAGATAAATAGCCAGACATTGACAAAGATATGTCAAGTATATCGGAACTTTCTGGGGTCACTATTCTCTACGGCTCAGAAACGGGAAATGCTCAAGATTATGCGCTATTTTTGGCAAAGAGACTTAAGTATTTCGGGTTGAAGCCTACAGTTGTGTCATTGGATCATTATCCGTTGAAAAATTTAGTAACCGATACGAAGTACTTGATAGTGATATGTTCTACTACGGGACAAGGTGAGTTGCCGAGAAATTCGAAAAAGTTTATGAAGTTCATATTAAAGAAGAAACTTCCGAGCGATCTTCTCAATCATATAGAGTTGACAAGCTTTGGGATAGGAGATTCGTCGTACCCTAAATTTAATTATGCGATAAAGAAAATACATGCCCGTTTGTTGCAGTTGGGATGTTCTGAATTGTGTACTAGATGTGAAGCAGACGAACAAACTCCAGAAGGTGTTGACGGGTACTATAGTGAATGGGAGACGAATCTACTTGAGGCTTTAAAATCGAAAATACATGGTATACCACTCACGTATGATGAAACAGTATTACTTCCCGCAGATAACCCTGTTGAGGTTTTAAGTAATGAACTGGATATTCCTACTTCAAATTCCCCCACTGAATTATCATTAACGAGAATGGGAGATGGATCAACAGATTTATTGTTGGGGTCTGTTAAAGCCAACAAACGGATAACTAAAGAGGGCCATTTTCAAGACGTCAGACATTTAATAATTGAAGGGGAGAATTTGCTGTATATTCCTGGTGATACGCTTGCGTTATATCCGTCAAATGACAATGAAAGTGTCGAAACTTTGATTCAGCTGCAGCCACATTGGATTCCAATTGCAGATAAGCCTTTATTAATACATGGGGAGATTCCTTTCATTGAAGGTGGATTAATAGACAAACTGAAGCTCACGCTTAGGTCGCTTATAACTCATCACTTGGATATCATATCAATTCCCCGTAGGTCATTTTTCATGACCTTGGCGCATTTTAGTGATGCTACTACTGAAGATGGAGAACGAGAACAAGAAAAATTAAGAGAGTTCAGTAAAATCGAAGAAAGTGAAGAATTATATAACTATGCGAACCGTCCTAGACGGCTGATTTTAGAGACGATTTTGGAATTTCAGCAAAATTTAACCATTCCTGTTGAGTATATTTTAGATTTATTTCCAATAATTAAACCAAGACTATTCCTGATTGCATCTAGGCCAAGCCCAAGCCTGGTCGAATTGATTGTCGCCGTCGTTGTATATAAAACGATTCTCAGGAGAGTTAGAAGGGGTTTATGTACGAAGTGGATGAAACTGTTACAGGATAATGATAGAATTGTTTTCTCAATCCATAAATCAAACTTAAAATTCGAACTCCCTACTTACAAATATCCGCCAATTCTTATGGTGTCACCTGGTACGGGTGTGGCTCCCATGAAATCGCTTATAGAGCATATAGCTCTGTTAGGGATACAACAAGATTTGTATTTATTTTATGGGTGCCGTAATAAAGAAAACGATTATTTGTTCGGCGATCTCTGGGCTTCTTTAAAGTCACAAAACAAGCTATCCATCTACCCTTGTTTTTCGAGAGATCAGGATTCCAAAATCAAATATGTTCAGCATAAAATATACGAGCAACATGAATTGGTAGGTGACTTGATATTGAATCAAAATGCAATTGTCTTCATATGTGGGTCTAGTGGTGCTATGCCTAGGGAGGTAAGGATCACCCTAGTTGAAATTTTAGTAAAATTTGGAAAAATGACAGATACTGAAGCTGATGATTATTTAATGGATATGGAAAATGGAGGAAGATACTTACAAGAGACTTGGTAATAGTGTTAAAGATATAGATTTAGACTTATAGAGCATTATAAAAGATAATATTCATTTACCTGTTAGTATGCAGTATAGTTGAATAGACCGATCATAAATTTTCAACCAATATATATGTCTTGAACTATTACGTCTAACAACAACCATGTTGAAACTTGCACCTACAGTCCGTATACTGTTACGTTTGTCTAGTCGGACTGCTCCTACGTTTAGGAATGTACTTGGTCTCAGGTGGAATTCAAATCCCACGTTAAGACAATATCCTGAGGAAATAGCACTCGATGGTAAATCCTATAAAACTGACGAATGGACTAATATTCCTCCTTTTATATTAGAGTTAACTAAGAGACAATTGCATCAGGATGTAAATCATCCAATTGGAATTTTACGTAATTTAATAGAGAAGAATTTTGAAGGTATGGGATATACGTTCTACAATGATTTTAAGCCTACGGTAACTACATTTCAAAACTTTGATGTATTAGGGTTCCCACAAGATCATCCGGGTAGATCGAAGTCTGATACCTATTACCTCAACAAAGAGAATTTGTTAAGAACACATACCTCAGCTCATGAAAATGAATGTTTCAAAACATGTACGACACCAGGCTATTTCATTACTGCAGACGTGTACAGAAAAGACGAGATAGATAGGACTCACTACCCTGCATTTCACCAAATGGAAGGTGCTAGATTATGGTCCCAAGATACAAAAAACTTAGAGGAACAAATTTTGGCTGATATTGCATCTATACCGGAAACTGATATTATTGTTGAAGATCCGTTCAGAGAGAAGCCGATGAATTCGGCAAATCCAAAGCAAGCTTATATGACTAATAGACAAGTGGAACTTATTAGCGTACATTTGAAAAAAACACTCGAGTATCTAGTCAACCAAGTGTTTGAAAAGGCTAAGGAATCAGCAAGGTTAGCAGGCTCTACAGAGCCTTATTTGAACGAACCCTTAAAGGTGAGATGGGTCGAAGCATATTTTCCTTGGACATCGCCATCGTGGGAAATTGAAGTATGGTGGAAAGGCGAGTGGTTAGAATGTTGTGGCTGTGGTCTAGTTCAGCAACAGGTATTGCTTAATTCAGGTTTAGGTAACGATAAGCTAGGATGGGCTTTTGGTGTTGGCATTGATAGAATTGCAATGTTATTATTCGGCATTCCCGATATTAGACTTTTCTGGACTTTAGACGAGAGGTTCAGTAATCAATTCGAAATGGACAAAATAGCGACTTTCAAGCCATATTCCAAATTTCCAGGCATCAAAAGAGATGTGTCGTTTTGGCTTCCAAATGAGTCCTTATTACATGTTAACGATGTTATGGAAATTGTGCGTACCCATGGTAATGACCTAATAGAGAATGTAACTAGTATTGATGAGTTTGTTCATCCAAAAACGGGGCAAAGATCCCAATGCTACAGAATCAACTATCAATCTATGGATAGAAACTTGACTAATGAAGAAATCAACGACATTCACAAGAAAGTTGAAGATGATTTGATCACTTATTTCAATGTTAAAATCCGTTAGTTAATAAGTAGTTTAAGTATTTCTTGTATATAAAACATATTGATGAGTTTTGTGTAATTTTGAAAGATTCAATTTTTTTTGAAAATTCCGACAGACAAATGTAATCGAAATTTAAAAAACTATCGATTTGTGGTTATTTCTTAATTATATCCTAGAAGGAAAACTTGGAAATGTTGGGACTTGGAAGATCTTTGTTTTCTTCTATTAAAACAGGTACGCCATCTATTGGTTTAAGCACATTCAAATCTAGCATAAATAATTCATTTTTGCTCAACAGCGTAAGATACAAACATGAATATGCACCAAGATTCAAAAGAATCAGAAAAGCATTCAAGGGTAGAGTTAGTGTTAAAACCGGAGGATCAATAAAAGGTAACTCTTTGGAATTTGGCGAATATGGTTTAAGATTGAAATCCAATGGAATCCGTATGACGGCTACGCAGCTTCAAGAAGCTGATAAAGTTATTAAAAGAGAAATCAGACCTTCGAATGGTCAGTTGATTACAAGATTTGTGTGTAATACGCCTGTTTGTATCAAAGGTAACCAGACAAGAATGGGTAAAGGTAAGGGTGCTTTTTCTCATTGGGCATGTCGTGTTACCACAGGTAAGGTCTTGTTCGAAATAAAAGGTAATGTACACGAAAAGGTTGCTAAGGAAGCATTGAGAAAGGCTTCTGACAAATTGCCTGGTTTATTTGAAATCATCAAGCAAGACTCTAAGGTTAGAGTGAGTATTAATCATTGTATTGATAAACCTGAAAAGGTAGACTACGTTGAAGAATTAAATAAGAACCCAACTCGTAAGTGGACAAACATTCAAACTGCCAAAGATCCGATGTTTCAAATGTTTAGAGGACGTTAAGTAGATGGATTTCCATTGCTTTTCTTAAATATTCGACGAGACACTTGTAAATATTATTTATATATATATATTCCTAATATATATTCAAAGTACGTACTGGCTGTAGTTCGATGTAATTTAATTTTTAATATTAGCCGTACTAGTTAATGTTTGTATGAATAATGATCTATACATGCGCATTTAAATTTACTTATGTTCATTTTATAATAAATAAGGCTTAAAGAACAAACGTATCCATGACTGCCCTGAAGGATTCGACAAGGTATATTGGTAATTCTCTAAATGTTTTATCCAAATTAGTTGAATCCGATACCGAAATTTCTACTATTGATTTGAATATAATTGAAAATTTAAATACCAACCAATCTTTAAATTACATAAAATTAGAACAGAAACTCAATAATTTGGAAGATAATGCTAATAGTTTGGAAGGTTTAAGTAAGTATTAAGTTTGTACTGTCATTAAACTACGATCCGCTAGGTTCTATTGAAAGGAGTATTACTTATCACTGTCATGCCTAATACTAACGACCCGATAGATAATGAATTTAAATCATTTAATACGACATTGCTAGAAATTGAGAATCAAATAGAGAAGATTGAAACTATAACAAAGGAACTAGATAATTGGTCAAAAGAATTGTCATCAAAGGTTAAAAAGCTTTGATGTAAAAAAAGCATGCTACACCAACTACAATGCTAAGGAATAACTCTTCCAAACGTTCATTTCTTTCTGATATTATGCATTCTATTTACTATTAACATAGTATCCATTACATATACATATTCTGGAATATGAGTCAATACATTACGTCATAATTAATAGCAGACTCGGTGTGTGTAACTTTGTTTTGCTAATAACCGTTTAGTAGGAAAGCGATTAAAAAATTCTATAATCATTCCTGTAATGCTTTTAATCTTTCTCTCATTTCATCCAATGCTTCATGATCAACATCATCTTCCAATTTAATATCGTTTGCTTTCGTTTCTTCCACTTCTGAAGGCATATTACTTGTAGGAACTTCATTATCAATTTTAGAAAATTTGTCTTCTGTTAAACTTTGAATAATCTTATTTACTTCATCTTGGGACTCACTTTCTATTTCGTCATCCTCAACATCTAAGTCCACCATGTCATCCATCATTTCATTGATCACTCCTGCTTTCATTAACTCCTTCAGTAGTTCTTGCATAGTCCCCAGAATTGCACCTAAGCTGACTAGTTGATTAACATCTTTCATGACACCAGTCAGTAATTGCAACGATGTCGTTAGCTTATTCATCGACCATTGCTCATTGATAGACATAGTTATTGAATCTATTCGTGTCTTGGAAAGATATAATTTGTTGTATTGACGATTAATGTTAATCAATTCCCTAGCATAGACTTTTGCTGATTTATAGTCCTTATCCTTAGCTGACTTCTTAATCAAGGCTTCAGTTTTCTTTTTTAAAGGTTGTAACTGATTCATTGAACGATCTAACTCTCGTTTGTTTTTACGTAGTAATTGGTTTATTTTCCTCATCTACAATTATGTTAGTATCATTTATTGAATATAGCTCCACAATTTCAAATAATCAAATATATATATATATATATATATATATATCCACATACTTGTTCCTTGGGATCGGGTCCCCATATTGCTTTCTTTATATAATCCATGATTATTCATATATTATCATTCAACAACGTCTTATCTTCAAGGAAGAATTATTTCTTCGGTATTTGAAATGCGAAATTAAGGAGAAACGAGATTATAATTATTTTGATTTAAACCCTTACTTATAAAGATGCCTAGGTATGAAGAAGATAATGTGCCTAATTATGCACAGAATATACTTTTGATCATTTTGTCGTTCATAATTCCTCCTGTGCCCATAATTATGCTTTCGGATAACTCCATTTTTACCAAAGAGTGTCTTATATCAGTCATTCTCACACTACTCGGGCATATTCCAGGTGTACTCTTTAGTTTATACTTTATTCTTATTGAATATCCGAAAAGAGCCCACAGGCATTCTGGAAGAGATGGTTATATAAGAATTGAAGATGAAGATGAGATAAGACCTATCCGTGCAACTGATAGTAATCAATTGGCTCAGGATCAGCAAGAAACACAAGGATCTCTGTTAAACATACCACAAGACAATGAATCTGAATCACCGCATCCACCACCACCAAACTATGAAGATATAGTTGGTGCAAGTGACGGCCAGAGAGATAGTAAACTGGCTGGTGATAATAAAGTGCAATATTAGTTTATGTTTTAATCATTTGTTTTCTATATATGTCTACTTATTTAAGTAATTCTTATGTACGTATTAATACATATATATGTTATACTTTTTACTATTGCTTTTCCAATGCAACCATAGATTTAGCAACAAAACCCTCCAAATGAAATATACTCTTCTGTCCTAAGCTCAACCGTTCATCAAATACTGCACCGATTTCAACTAGGCTTTGAGTTATAGATTCATTGCTGTTAGATACTTCGATTAGATTAAATAATAGCTTCTTCAAAATAATTCTAGGAGGGATACAATGGGATAACAATTCATAAAATACTACTCTTACTTTAGCAAGATTAGCGACTGTTCTATTTGATACAATAGATTTAGCCAAATTTTGAATAATTACTTCCCAATCCAATGCAATCATCGCCAGATCTGTATTATTAATCGCGATCAGTTCACTTTGCATCAGAATCGTTTCAAAGCATAATAAAGCTTTTCTTAAATTAGAATCTGAGTTTTTAGATACCCTGTCGAAGAACTCTTGCTTCTTTGATTCATTAGAAGGATTAAATTTAACTGACTCCTTATCGGCTATGTTCGATAGAATATTGCTAATTTCTTGATGAGATGGTGCAGGTATTCTCACTAACAATGTTCTTGATTTAATGGGCGATATGATGTTAGATGTTGTATTACATATCATAATTATTCTGATATTGGCTGAATATTTTTCCATCGTTCTTCTCAAAGCTGCCTGTGCATCTCTACTTAGCGAATCTGCTTCATTTATTATAACAACTTTAAACCTATGTTTTGAAGAAGACTTAGATTGGTTACTGAAGTCCACTTGTTCTGTTGATGCAACATCTTTCAATAAATCTTGAATTACAACCCTGTCATTGTTTCCCATGTCAGAAGGTGTGATCTCTAAATGATAAGGTGAACTTAAAACATTGAATTCTAATTTTCTGTTTGAAGAAGTAGTAAAAACTTTCACATCTATTTTCAATTTCTCTACTTGTGGTCCAAATAATTCATGTAAAGTACAGTAAATTCTTGTCTTCTTACCACTACCTGGAGGTCCATAAACTAGTAAATGTGGAAAATCTCCTGTACTTGCTAAAGCAGCTAGATTTTGTGTGATTGATTCATGATACGACAATTGCTCCAAACTTTTAGGTCTGTACTTATCTACCCACAAAGACATACTGTTTTTAATTGACTACTTATCCTAGGTTACTGATTTTCACACCAAAAGAAGTAAGCATCCTCTCGAAATTTTGACGCGTATACAAAATTATTGTATACAGGTTGGCTGGAATCAATGGAACCACCATTGCAAAATGAACTACCGCTGATTTTGTCATAACTAAATAATATTAATACTATACAATGTGCTATAAATCCTATATGAAAGCTGAATTAATCAAGCTAGTAAATAAACTAAGCGTGAAGCAAAATTCTCTGCATCGTGATAAACAGCAGGTTTATGGCAGGTAGCCATCAAACAGGCCCAGACAATACCTTAAGTAAAATTAAAAAAAAAAACCGTCATATATTCTTGGAAAGCCTACTTGTTTTTTATTACACTTCAAACTTTTGGTTTGGTTCTTAAGAAATGAGAGGGACATTCATATCCGCCTGGGTTTTTCTTTAAGTATTCTTGGTGATACTCTTCAGCATCGTACCAAATTTTTATAGGTTCTATTATAGTGACGATCTTGTGGTTTGGATACCATTCTGTCTGCATTTTTTCTTTAACATCCCATGCAAGCTTTTGGGACTTTTCATCGTGAGTCATAATGGCTGATCTGTACTGAGTACCAACATCAGGACCTTGAGCATTAACTGTTGTTGGATCATGCATTCTAAAGAAAGTGTCTAATAGCTTTTCAAGTGTGACCTGAGATGGCTCATATGAAATTTGAATACTTTCAACAAAGTCAGTTGAGCCAGAACAAACCTTCTCGTAATTAACATTACCAACAGTTGGAATACCATTGGCATAACCGACTTTAATATCAATTATGCCTTGGTTACCAAAGTATCTTCTAAATACTTTTTCAACACCCCAGAAACATCCGGCTGCCAAGGTAATTAAGGAAGACGTTGATGTAGTTTTTAATGCTGATGACACTGAAGTAGTCATTTCGTTATTTTTCACACTTATTGATAGTTTGTCTTTAGATTTGAAATATACTTAGATTGCAAATATACCCCAATGCTATAATTTCGAAATTTATCGTAGAAAAACTATGTAATTATAGAAATCTAAATGCTTACATTACTTAGTAATGATGAGTTCCCATCAATTTAAACGGCACTCAATTTTTGTTCATTATCACGTGATATGAGATGTAGTATTTAGGAGAGATATCTTACTTGTTTCTTCTAAAGCTGAAAAATCCTTTTTTCTTATCTTTTTCAGTTGTATTTGTATTTTCCACCGAACCATTGTTTCCGCTACCGTTGTTATTAGCGTCACCGTTACCCTTTTGACTTGAAATGGTCTTCATGCTAGCCGATGATGATTTTCTCTCTATTCCTGGTATTGTACTTATCAATTTTGATTCTCTTCTTTTTAAGCCACCAACCCAGCTCTTTTTTTCTGATTTAGGTGTAGGAGGTTCTTTCTCGTTCTCAGAGAGACTTTTATTCGGAGCAGGCAAATTAATGCCTGTAGGGCGAGTTTCACTAGATTCCTTTATTAGGGGATCTTTGAAAGGATTCATAAATTGTCTCTTGGAGAAGGACCCAGCATCAGATGATGTACCCAGTGGAATATAGTCCTTAGTTTCAAATGTTTCAGACGAGGATCTAGTAGATGATCTCTCGTTATCATTGTCAGCTTCTTCTACTACTGGATAATTAAACTTTGCCGATGACACAGAAGATGTTTTCCTTACAGAGGTGGTAGAAATACTTGAGTTATCATACACTGAAGTATTACGGAAATTTTGTGCTAAGGAATAATCGCCACCGTCGTACAAATCATTAACATTGAATCCAAAATCAATAGCATCTTCTGAATCACTAGTTGTATCACATTTTTGATAGAATAGAATGTACGCACTTGCTAATCCCGGACCATTACCGAAAAAACGCATTACATATGCATCATCTACTAATTCAACGGTTTCATCATCGAATAATAACCACAATTTTGCCTTAATCTTACACAACGAAATATAATGACCATGCATTGGGCCACCACCGATATGAACAACCAAAGCATATAGATCGTAAAGGGAAAAGTCATCCTCTGACTTATCCTCATTTTTCTTAGAAGTTGTGGTCGTATTGAATAGTCTTAATGTAGAAGGATATGATATTGAATCGAACAACTTAACCATCTTATCAACATTTTCATCATATTTGAATCTTTTGAAATTAATCACTAATATCTCAGGAAGATCCTTTAATTTAATAGTCTTAGTTGCCTCTTGTAAAGAAGAGCACGTATTGCAATAAAATTTATTTTGATGTGTTAATGTTTCCAGTCTTGAAAAATTATTTAATGAATATGTTAACGAATATGAACTTTCTCCTGGGGGAACATCTACTGATAAATCCAAAAATGTTTCTTCTTTAGATGTCACTGTTTCACAGGATAAACATTTAGTTTCATTCGTAATTAACCCTTGAAATAATTTATTACACCAGTTATTTTGAAGCCCATTTTCTTTATCTAAGCATTCAATTATCTCATTAATCAAATAGTTAAAGAATTCGTGAGCATCATGATGCATGTTATTTTGTCTGAACAAGTAGTTCTTATCTTTTAATTTATTAATGAAGTATGTTGGAGAAACAACCCCTGTTTGAGATTTATTTTCTATCATACACTCGAAGATATCTTTCAAAGAATACAATAGAGCCGAATCATCTGATTGTTGAGTTGGAAGTTGTAACGAATGGTCTAAATTAATTATTGGTCCATTGATTAATGCCGATCGTTTTCTTTGGTCTATTGACGGGTTAGGATTAATAGGGTAAATCTGACTACTTAAATATGGCTCTGGTTGAGGAATACCGACTATTACTACACATGATTGTGGTGTGATTGAGGTTTCGTCCTTTTGAATTCCATTTTGAGTGCCACTATTTCCATTTGTGTTGGTTTGATCATTATTTAATAACATTGAAGATGATTGTGAGTAGTTATTTTTATTCGCTGGATTCGCTGGGTTAGATGAGGATCTTGTTATCAATAACGGAAGATTTTGAAAATCTATGCTTTTCTTGATTAAAATGCGTTGTTGAGTTGAAAGGGCTTCACAATTTTTGGCTTCAACTATCATGGAGTTTTTATTTATGTCAGATTCATTAGATCCATTCATATTTTTCGAGTTATTGTTGCTGTTAGAATTATTTGAATTAAATTTAATGCCGAATATCGATCCTTTTCTTGAAGACTTGGGTCTATCGGTACTTTCATTAACGGCCTGTAATTGGGGGCTCTTTCCTTGTTCTTTTGCTCTCTTAGACACCATCTGCTCATATTTAGTCGTGAACCCATGCGGTTTTACGCCCGCAACTGAAAGCTTCCTATCATGCACTGTAATGTTATGTTGAGCCAATTGTGTACGGAAGTTCTCTGTATAAAACAAGCACTGTAATATTGAATTGCAATAACACGTATTACCGAAATTTTCCATGCCAAATATTTTATTGGACCCATCACCGTAAGGCAACGGCTTTTTATTGTTAGTGATGGTGCTGTCGTCGTTCATTATTTCTATGAAGAGCCTCTATATCTATATTTACTCTATAATTTACCATCCGGCGATTTATCTAGTAAATCTAATAACTTTTATTTTACAGTTGGGTTCGTCACGTGATCGTCTTCATTTCTCCATAAATGGAGAATTACTCCTAAATGTTTCAACCTACACGAACTATTACGCGCGACAATTTATAGTTATAATACATTTGCCTAAATATTTAGTATTATTATCTAATTCTTTTTGAGGAAAGGGGATTCCCTTGGTACTGTGAGCCCTTTTTCAACTTCTGGCAATTTATCTAAGGCATCAAACCATTTACTGGTCAAAGGCCATTGTTTGATGTCAATATCAAGACCACTCAAAAACTTGGCCCACGAAAAGACTGCAATGTCAGAAATACAATAGTGATCTCCCACAAGGTATAAACCGTTACTCTGGTTACGTTTCAAGTACTCTTCGACTACTGAATACAATCTCTTTGTTTCAGCTGTATATCTATTGACACCGTATTCAATTTTCTCAGGAGCAAACTTAACAAAGTGGTTTGCCTGGCCTTGCATTGGGCCTAATCCTGCCATTTGGAAGTACAATGTTTCCAATTGTAAGTAGTAATTCTTCGAGCCCATTTCGTACGAGAATCTATGACTTTTATCGTAAGTGTCCACAAGGTATTGCATAATTGCTGCAGTTTCACTGATAGTGATTCCAGTACTCGAATCAACCAAAGTTGGAATTCTACCATTAGGGTTCATCTTAAGAAACCAGTCTGCCTTTTGTTCGTTCTTGCTGATATCGATATACTGGGCGTCATATTTAAGTCCTAACAATTCTAATAAGATTGAGACCTTGTATCCGTTAGGAGTACTACAAGAATAAAGTTTTATTCCGTTTGCTACCGACATAATTAATTAATTGTTAAATTTGGTACTAATTATTTGGGGCATTCCGCTATTAAATAGCAAAACGCCATTATAGATTACATCGAAAGCAACTCGCCAGCTCACCTAAATTAGTAATCATAAGTCAAGCTTGTTATCTATGTAATTATTACGTAAGCAGAACATGTTGTCCTCGTATGAAACCTGTAAGCTGTATTATAGGGAATATTCCTTTAATTAGTATGATTGAGACTCCACAGCTAAAAAAAAAGCCGAAATAGATGCCTAAGTTGCAAACATTTGAAGATTAAATGTGACGAAGTTAAGCCTAAATGTGAATATTGTGAATACACTAAACGAGAATGTATTTACCCAGATCCCAGCACTAAAAAGAAGAGAGGAAGGAAACCGAAGACAATAAGGACGATTGAGAGAAAGGAACTTATAGAGCAAATAAATATCTCTTCAGTTGAGCTTTGGAATAGTCAATTGTGTCTCAATTCAGTTGCACGCCAGTTAGATATATCACAGTTTGAATTTCGATTACTACATTATTTTCAGGAACACTATATAAGAATGCAAGACACAGACCCCATTAACAAGGTTTGGAACTTCCAAGTTCCTAAATTGTGGCAAGAATCTGACGTCGTTAGACAAAGTATATTTTCGCTTAGTGCGATGCATTTATGGGCCTTATGTGATTTAACCACGTTAATGCAAGATGATATTATGGACGATAAATCCAAAAAGGTCACATTTTCTAATAATATCAATTGTAACGAATTATTACAACACCCCAATACTTCGAGAGCTTATTTATTTGACAAGACAAGCGAATATTTCACTAATTGCTTGCAAAGAACCAATTGCATGATGGATGCAATTATAAGTCAAAATTATAGAATATCTACTGTCTTTCAAGCTGCAGAAATTGTTATATCAGCTATATTGTTATTTTCTTTTTTGGCGTTGCAACCGCATGGGCTTATTCCATTGCTTTCGTATGACTCGGAAACTCCCGATATTTTATCTATGTGTAAAGGGATGAAAACATCTATGTCCTATGCGTTTCCATTGTTATATGATTCACCTTATCGTGGATTATTTCACTTGAATGAAATTATGCATCCTCCTAATATAACTGAAAAAGATCGGTATCCGTTAATTGAATACTTGAGGGATGAGCTCGAAGATACTACCCAACTGGATAAATTTCAAGATGCTCATTACCAAATTTTCAAGGCTGCAATTGATATGCTTGAAATTGATTTCTACAGAACGATTGAAACGAATTGTCCACTACCTATTTATAGATGGATCTTCTTGATCGATATCAAAATGTACGATATCATAAAACTTGATAAAAATAGTTTTGGATTGAAGTTGTTATATATTTATGCTTGTTTATGTGTGATGTGCCAATTTAGGATCGACAAAAAAATAAATATTTGGCTTGAATATCTAGATTGGTACAAGGATTACAATCACCAAATTTTTGGTAAATGGAAAGATTCTTGACCAGGAGATGTACGAATAGGTTATGGTGAAGGATTTTGATATAGCAAAAGATTTCTATCGTCTCTTAGAAACTTTTGTCCCTCTTATGTATTTATAGTTGGAAGTAAATATTTATTGAATAACATTTTTTGATTTAAAAAGAAAAAAACAAGGACTTGAGAAACTAATTACTTATGTTTATCCACTAAAGGAATAACCCAAATTAATTCCTTTGAATTACTTTTCTTGATTCTCCAGTTTACCGTTTAATTGCAAATTTGGTTCCTTCGTTTATCTTGGTAACCCGGCATCTTCCAGCGTAATCATCATAATTATTATGTAAGCAAACCAATAAATATGATCCCCGATTGGAATAATTAAAGTTCCATTGTAGTATATTACTTCAATTAGTATAGAGCAAATGTTTGCTTTACAAAATCCAAGGGAGGGTTGATTAGCCATGACTAATAGTATCTCATCATCTCCAGATACACCACAATTGAAAAAATGCAAAAATAGATGTCTCAGTTGCAAAAAATTGAAGATTAAATGTGACGAAGCCAAGCCTAAATGTGAATACTGTGAATACACTAAACGAGAATGTATTTACCCAGAAATGAGCGCTAATAAGAAACGAGGAAGGAAGCCAAAGACTATAAAGACAGTTGAAAGAAAGGAACTTATAGAGCAAATAAATCCGTCTTCAGTTGAACTTTGGAGTAGTCAAATGTGTCTCAATTCAGTTGCACGCCAGTTAGATATATCACAGTTTGAATTTCGATTACTACATTATTTTCAGGAGCACTATATAAGAATGCAAGACACAGACCCTATTAACAAGGTTTGGAAGTTTCAAGTTCCCAAATTGTGGCAAGAATCCGACATCGTTAGACAAAGTATATTTTCGCTTAGTGCGATGCATTTATGGGCCTTATGTGATTTAACCACGTTAATGCAAGATGATATTATGGACGATAAATCCAAAAAGATCACATTTTTAAAAAATATCAACTGCAACGAATTATGTCTACACCCCAATACTTTGAAAGCCTATTTATATGACAAGACAGGCGAATATTTCACTAATTGCTTGCAAAGAACTAATTACATGATGCATGCAATTATAAATCAAAATTATATTATCTCTACTGTATTCCAAGCTGCAGAAGTTGTTATCTCTGGTATATTGCTATTTTCTTTTTTGGCGTTGCAGCCTCATGGACTTATTCCGTTGCTTTCTTACGACTCGGCTACTCCAGATATATTGTCTATGTGTAAAGGAATGAAAACGTCTATGTCATATGCGTTTCCATTGTTATATGATTCACCTTATCGTGGATTGTTTCACTTAAATGAAATTATGGATCCACCTAATATAACTGAAAAGGATCGATATCCATTAATCGAATATTTAAGAGACGACCTTGAAGAAAATATCCAAGTTAATAAATTTCCAGATGACGAATACAAAGTTTTCAAGGGGGCAATTGATATGCTTGAAATTGACTTCTACAGGACGATTGAAACGAATAATCCATTATCTATTTATAGATGGATCTTCTTGATAGATATCAAGATGTATGATATCATAAAACTTGATAAAAATAGTTTTGGATTAAAATTATTGTATATTTATACTTGTTTATGTGTGATGTGTCAATTTAGAATCGACAAGAAAACAAATATTTGGCTCGAGTATATAGATTGGTACAAGGATTACAACTACAAGTTTTTTGGTAAATGGATTGATTCTTACGATCAAGAAATGTATGAATTAGTTGTGGGGAAAAATTTTGAGATTCCAAGTAATTCATATCATCTCTTGGAAACTTTTGTCCCTCTTATGTACTTATAGCTGGAAGTAAATATTTATTGAATGAGACATTTCAGCGAAAGGAATAGAAAAATAAGTATCAGGAAGCTATTTAATGATATCTATCCGTCAAGCGAATAACCTAAATTCACTCCTTCGAACTGCGTAGCTAAATTCTCTAACTTACCTTTCATTAATTGCAAATTTGGTTCCTTCGTTTCAAATCTTGGTAACCATTCTGCTACACCATGTTGTAAAACACCTTTGGCTCTTGTTTTGCCGTGATCAACATGTCCGTAAGAACCGTGTAACGTTAATCTGATACTTTTCGATGAATAAGACGCTCTATGTAAAATATTACTGTTGTAGAAGACAATATCACCAGGATTCATGTCAACTGTGATTTGGCCATTGATAAATTCCTTTCTATTATCGTTGGAAGTCTTTTCACGCTCTTCCGGCGTCCTAATTCTATTATGAGAACCAGGAATAACAATCAAGCATTTATCTTCAGTCAATGGCAAATTGAACTGAGTCCCTGCGTATGGATCTTGCAATAATTGTTCTGCCTCCTCTTCTTCACTAACTTCCGGCTTGATATAATCTCTATGCCAATCTAAATCAAAGTCTGTTAGAGGGTTTATAAGCATGTTAAAAAGTTCCATACTTAATCCATTCTTATCTGTCTGTAGGATATCGCCGGCAATATCTAATAATTTATCAGACGAATAACATTCATGGAATGGTCTTGACATGTCCCCTAAATCAGGGTTCAACAATCCTGATATTCCCCAGATATCAGGGCTAAAATTCTTGGGCCAAGGAGGAAATTGCTTCCCCCTTGTCCTAACTTCCGGCCATTTACCTTCTCTAGCATATTCAACAACATTTTCTGAAGCCTGCCTATATTTTTTCACTTCTTCTGGGGTCAAAAATTCTCTAACAATAGTGAAACCATCTTTAGCGATTTCATCGTGGTGAACGTGTGATATCTGAATTGTCATTTCAGTATTTTTATTTTAAACTATAGAATTGAATGTCTATGGGACATAGCAGTCGATGGAATGCTGACTATTTATATTCTTAAATTGATTGGTATGTGGAGTATCCGTATATAGACTGTAACGTGTTTTCAGAATGATAAAACGTTACAAAACAATAAAAATGTGATGTTTCAAATGCAACCTCGATATAATGTAACGTCGATGTTACATTTTTATACGGGGCCATTAAAAATTTTATATATTCAGGGAGACTTCCAATTTTCCATTTACATTTATTATACTAAGAAAACTTTCAAATATATAATGGCAATTACGCTAAATTGGGGAATCCTTGGTGCTGGTAACATATCCTCGCAATTTGTTCATGACTTGTGCTTGAATAATGAAAAAGGAAACAATGAAATAAAACACATAATCAGGTCAATTGGATCTTCTTCAAGAGGAAAAGGCCAATCTTTTATTGAGTCAAATTGTATTAAATCAAGCAATAACGAAGGTGTTATCCCAACAATCGAATCTTATGACGAATTTTTTGCTAATGATCAAATTGATGTTGTCTATATTGGCACTCCACACCCACTACATAAAGATCAAGTTATACAGGCATTGGAAAATAACAAGCATGTTCTTTGTGAAAAGCCTTTCACTATCAATTCGACTGATGCTAACGAAATAATTCAACTTGCAAAGAAAAAGAAGAGATTCTTAATGGAGGCTGTCTGGACAAGATTTTTCCCATCAATTACGCTTTTAAAAAAATACATTTTTGAGGACAAACTTCTTGGTAAGATTAATAGATTATTTGTTGACTTCGCGTATGATGCTGATATAGAGAATTTACCAATTACGTCAAGGCTCAGAGACATCAAATTAGGCGGTGGCTCATTATTAGACATAGGTATTTATTCTATAACTTACGCAAGAATATTGCTAGATGACAATGTTGGAACTGATGCAGCAAATTTTGAAACGAAATCATTCCTTACGTTGGATACTGTTGATAAAGTGGATTACACCTCATCTGTTCTAATGAAGTATGTAGATGGGAAACAAGGTATATTGACATGTTCAAATTATACTGATGGAAAGGAACCATTCTTAAGACTTGAAGGCTCAATGGGGACTTTAGAAATGTGGGCAGCAAATCCAGCTTGTCCTAAGAAATTCAAGATTACATTTAAAGACAACACTGATCCTATAGAGTATGAGGATAATAGCGGATACAATGGTTTTATCTATGAAGCTGATGCAGTAGCTAAAGATATCGCACAAAAAAAATTAGAAAATAATACAATGCCTTTAAATGAAACTCTCCTAGTAATGGAAATTATGGATAAGATCAGAGCTGAAAACGGCTTAATTTATCCTGAAGATTTATCTTAAATATAGCCTCAAGTGCGAAATCATCCGTCTGGAGGGCTTGTGGAGATCTTAAGTATACAGGTCTTGCTAAGAATAAGTTCAATGAACCTGCACAGGTGTCCTAATGCGCTAAGAACTATGACATATGATGTTTGTTTATAACTAAATATTTTTTTGGCCAAAAGAAATTGGGAAATGCTTGGAATTATTGTTAAATTGTTTAGAGCCTATTCGATTATTTCCTATTATTAGTATTGATAGCGTAGGAAGCCGTTCTCTTGAAATGATTTATTGGAAAAACTTTCTTACCTAAGTTATTATTCGATTTAATGATATGGTGCAAGATATATTTTAAGTTACATCACTTTTAGCATTCACTATTTCCAAAACAGTGTGTTATTATTATTGGATTATGACAATAATTAATCCGAAAGAACAATACAGCCGCATATTATACATGTGGCTAACACTAAAGGGCTCAAGATTTATACAAAAAAATTTTCCGGCCACCGGTCCTGCTACGATTATTCATTCCTTGCAACCTATAAAAGAATTATTGTCTCTCATTCAAAAAATAATGTAAATTTATAACCTTTGTTTAGACTGATAAATTAGATTAATCATGTTTGAGCAGGAGAATAAAAAAAAGGTAGAATCAGCCAGACAATTGGTCGATAATAATTCTAATTCAAGCAACAATACTGCTGATGGGTCCTATACGGCGAAGGATAAAATGAACAGTAATGACCTTGAAAATCATGAAACCCCAAATGATCCTGATCAAATTCCATCTACGAACGAAATTGTTGAAAACTTGACTACCTTACCAGAAAAAACTGCTA